AGGTTTCCCAGCTGGTTCTCACGACTCCCTGACATCAGTGTGAGAGCTCCCTAAAGTGAAGGAAAGTAATTTAACACAATACAAGAACTACTTTTCCCTCTCAGCTTTACTGAAGTGGGAAGAAGGAGGAGGAGGAGCAGAGGGACAGAAGGAGGAAGAAAGAAGAACGAAGAGAGAGGAGGAGGAGAGAATGAGGGACAAGAAGGGAGAGCAGGAGGAGAACAAGAGGAGGAGGCAGAAAAAGAATCGGCAGAAGAAGCAGGAGATAAAAGAAGGGGAGATGGAGGAGAAGAAGAAAAGGAAGAAGGAGAAGGAGGAGGAGAAGGACAAGAAGGAGAAGGAAAGAAGGAGAAGAAGGAGAAGAAGACTCATAATGAATATTTGAATAAATATAGTCCTACGAACACAAGGAACTTCAGCCATAGGATTTCTTTACAAGAGCAGGAGCACTTCAGGAGAACAAGCTACAACATTTAGAAACCCAGGACTGGCACGGAGACCTTGAATCCAGGGAGGTGTGCAGCAGATGTTACCCAGGACCCAAACCAGAGGCTCAGTGATTATCTCTAGTATATTTTGTCCTAGGTCAACACCTTGGGACGGGTCTGGGATGCTCAGCCCCACCCAGCAGAGGTCCTGAGGCTGCATAAATTCTTCCTGCTTTAAAGCCTGTTTTAAGCTGGGCTCTAGAGTAAGAATGATCCCGGAAGGGAGAGAATCAAAGGATGCAACTAGGGGGAGCTAGGAAAAGCACATCAGAAAGGAAGTTAAACAGGGACTGACCCATATCAGGTTTCAGTTTTTGGAAATGATGCTTTAAGCAGAATTTTTACAAGCTGGCGTCTATCCAAATAGGAACTAGTGAATGCTCTGGGGGAGAAAAAAAAGGCATCTGATAAACAGTTCGAGAAACCAAGGATGTTTCCACTTGAAAAGCAAGGATTTTTGGAGTTGAACAATAGCCATTCTCAAAGAAAAATCTATCACTTATAAAAGCATCAATAATTTTTTTTCCTCTGAAACTCTGGAAAAACTAGTACTAAATGATGTAAATCCTAGGGAGGTAGATTTTGTTTCAAATTAAGAAATAACATACTAATCATCAGACTTGTATATAAGCGGGATGGGCAAAAATTAGTAAACTTTCACCTCTTTAATAT